CTAATTGTCCCTACTCAGCACTTCTGATCTCATGTAGTTGAGAGCAACCAGAGACATAACTTGCCGCCATTCTAAACGCAGTAAATGAGTAAAGTCAGTAAGAACACTCGTTGCTCGACGTCAAATGACCATTTAATACAACGCGGCGATCTCTCGAAGGCGAATTTTAGTAATTGCATTTTCTAAAATTGCTTTCGCAGAAGTGACTGGCGCTCAACTGGGCCAAGCGGTCCAATCTTTTGTGAAAAGATACACGCTAATAGCAATTAGTGCTACGATCTTGTGCACGGCGACAGCAAAATCAAGGCTTCCTACCGCATTAAATATATTACCCTATTTTCCGGTGTATAAGCCCGCGCTAGTATCATGTAAAAACACCTCCACTGGTGCAGTGTACTTGAGTACATCTAGAGTCAACCGTAACATGCCCATAGGGGTAATTCGATATGCTGATCACGAAAACGACATTCGTTTTTAGCGGTGGCGGCATCTGGCGCCAGTTGGCGCCACCTTGTCACGACCCTTGTTTTCGCCAAAATCGGTGTAAACTTCAGTATAGGGGTTATTTGGGACCCTGATTACGAATATGACATTCGTTTTTGGCGTTAACGTTGTTTAGTGCACATGTCTCGGTTGGAGAGCGCAGACGAGCAGAAAATAGGCGTCAAACAGCGCCAGCGCCTATAATGAATGTCATATTCGTAATCAGGGTCCCAAATAACCCCTATACTGAAGTTTACACCGATTTTGACGAAAACAAGGGTCGTGACAAGGTGGCGCCAACTGGCGCCAGATGGCGCCAGCGCTGAAAATGAAAGTCATTTTCGTGATCAGGGCATCGACTTACCTCTATAGGCAAATTTGCGGTGGTTTCTAAGGTGTACAAAGTTACACTGCACGAGCGGGGGTGGTTTTACGTGAAATCGGCGCGGGCTTATACACCGGAAATTAGGGTAATTTTTTACCACGGGCAGAAATGCGGAGTTTCGATCTTGCGTTCACCAGGATAAACAGGGCACACCTATAATTAGAAAACGATGGATATACAGAGGATATGGATGACAACAGGTGCCTGGAAGCTGATCCTCTAGTAAAGCCAGCTCTTTTATTGAACATCTGAATAATTCAATTGGGTATTTCAAAACGGCTATGGGGCCGCTGAAATAACACTCTCTGCATAACAGGACCTTTCAGCATTAGTGGGGCCTAGACTTGGATGCCGAACAAAGCCCACACACTGAGAAAAAATCAAAATTTATTCCTAACGAGGAGCATACACAGAAGATTATGTGTAGCGAGCTGCGAAAACGGAACAGGTCCTGCAGCACGCGTCGTCTGAGATCCTGAAAAGCAAGGAAATCCGAGCATAACGTGCGTGGCCAGAGACCTTTTGAGATTCAACACTCTTGAAGAGAAACTTTCGAGCTCCTCTGGACCAACCTTAGGAGGAGTAACACACCCTTTGATGTTGATTGCATTTATATTTTCATGTAAGTGACTTCACACAATTTGCTACTGCACAGCTACGGATGATACGAAAACTCGATAGTATGTAATGTAAAAGTGGACAGCCTCAGACCCTTTGCGGGCGCTATCACAAGACACGGGGGCATCTTCCAGGACTAATCTAAGGGGCAGGAACATCGGAGAAAATAAAATTTTTCACGCATCCTGGGTTCCTTCTGAGGCTTAATCTTGTTTTCAATAGAAAGCAATTTTTCAGGGTAATTTTATAACTACATTGTTCACTTAAATGCCACTATTATACTGGACAACCTCCCGGCCTGAGCGTCCAAAAAACCTCATTATTTATTTTCCAATCGTACTCAAAATTTCCCTTCTGGCCAGGTACTTGAGAAAAGGATATTGCAGTTCCATTGAAACACGCATTGAATGGCTTGCCGAGTTGGGCATCTTACACTCTCTTACACTCTTACCCACGTACACCTAGAAGTTCATCACCTGTTTCGCCAATATAATAAATGCACATAACATCTAAAATGAGACCATTTTAGCGTTAACACAAAGGTAAATAGTTGACAAAATTACCAAGAGCGTGGTCAATCTGGCAAACGCTACTTTTGCAATTCACAGCTCATGCTAACCACTGCCTATCTCTCACCGGACGTAGGAAAGAATGCAGATTTCAGACCTCCCGATACTACCCCGATCTGGAGATCCCTGCGGCGGCCAAGAAGACAGAGTCAGCGGACACCGAGTGCAGCGATAAAGCGGAGAGTCGCAGTCTTGACGCGATAGTCTCGTGCATCACGGGCCGGGCCCGCCGCAAATCGGGCCTCGTCGTCGGCACCACCTCGCCTCACCCTCCCCCTTCCTCTGCCATCCGTTTGGGCTTTGCTATGTTCATGCATCTTCGAACATTTCGCAAAAATTGCCAAAAAACCAATGCAAAACGACCCGCTCTTCGTCCATTGCAACACGACCCCCATCACCTGCCATCGACTCTCTGTGAAAATTTTAAATAAGACCCCCTTTGGCACCATTGAAAACATACAAGAACCAAAACAGGACCTCTTCGCGATTCCCCTGGGGAGTCGCCCAGACGCACGATGGCCCTGACTGGAATTGCCTCAACAGAAGACGATGTTAACAATGAGTAACTCCCAAAAGGACGAAAGGTCACATATGCTATACATAATGAAGTCTGAACAACTTACTCGCCCTGAAATTGTCACGCATTTACCTCCTATGTAAGAAATTACTGGACGTTTCAAGGCTCATGTCGCCTCAATAGTGAATTCCGAGATCAAACAATTTATGTCTAATCCAGTGTCCTACACGTATTTCACTACCCCATTCACTCAAAAAATGGTCAACTGGTCGATGCTGAGGAGAAAAATCTCAACAGTCAAGCACCATCTTGATTACTTTCTTTGATGTTTCTACATTCTAACCACGACTCCTTCTCTCTATGTTTGCACGTTTTTCGCTGCACATGTCAGCATTGGTCACAAGCATTATGGTCTAAACCTGAAAAAATAGGAACCAACCTTGATCAAGCACAAAAGCAGTCTGGCTGTGAAGTCCTAAAATACAACTTGTGCGCCACCAATTCAGAGCGTCTAATCAGCACAGGAAGATCGTCGACTCCATACACACACGACAGACGATAATATCGACCTGAAAATAATATGGTAAGTGATGGTCGCACAGCGCAACTTCTTATAGAAGGGAAGGACAAAGAATAATTTGCCCATTGTTAATACCTCAGCTATTGTCATCGCTCGCCAGATTGCCGCTCGGTGAGAAGTCATATAAGCAAAAATTTCTCAAATAGTCCTCTTATGCAACGATCGGCATTTCAGGGTCAACCGTCCGTTCGAACTGTTCGAACGGGGGGGGGGGGTCGCATTTGTGTTCTGGGAGGGAGAGGGGTCGCATTGGTCGCATTGCGCGCCTTGGTGATCAGGGGCGCAGGGCATAGGTGCGTGCGAAAAAAGTTGCCGTTTCACTGGTTGTATATACCCCCCCTCGACGGCTGTTTTTGGGGGGAAAAGTGGGTGGAGTTTCGGAGTTTTAGGTAGGTTTTGGGCTGTGTCAACTGGTCTCAGAATCAAATACTATAGAAGAGGAGAGGTCGCGGTGGAGAGAGGCTGGGTTTACGCCTGGTCGCCAGGCCCTCTTTCAACTGCCCTCTGTTGACCTCATCCAACCATTGCTCTAGCTCAAGTATACCTAACCCAATCTGCCTCAGCTTGAAGTTTCCTCAAGTAGACCTACCGTAATTGCCCCAGCTTGAAGTTCCCACAAAATTTCTTGTATCGACTCCTTATCAGATATGTTTCTAAAGACATGAGCTCCGACTACGCGAAACCACTCAAAACCCGCTTCTCAAAAAACGTCGTGATGGTACACGATCCGTCGAGAGCCCCTTTGAGCTCGAACAGTGCACTAGATCGGAAGTAGATTTTTCCGATGCCGTCCATGTAGAAGACCACTATATTTTTTCAATAAAACGGAATATGCTTATCAATTCCAAGTTGAAAGCGTTCGGTATGAATCTAGCAAACTGTGATTATTCCATTTGAATATAGGGACACTACGTCCTTCTTTGTCCCCCCCCCATGCATACATTTATATGTATATTTACTTTATATTATGTAACATCGCTACTACTTCTAAAACTTGAACAAGGAAAGACAAAATGCTCTATGTACTAGACACTCGGCATAATGAGTCCTGTCTACGGGCCGTCTACTCATTGCGTGCGACCTTGGAGTCCACATTTAGACACAACCTTTCAGCCTTTCTGTTTTCCTTTTTGCTTTCTCCTTAACCATTTAGTAAGCTTCTTTCTAACTGAAGTAAATACTACTTTCCCCTTACTAATCAGTGTCGTCAGTTTCCGGCGGCTCCACGTGGCCGCAAAACGTGAAACCTGCGCAGGCTACATTGCGATAATCGCCCATGATTTTAAAGGCAAGATCGAAGACACTTCCTTTTTGCCATAAATTTTTTCAGAGGAAATACGATCAAGTAATGAGTATGGTGCCCCTCTTGAACCTTACGACTATTCTAATGTTCAACGGCAGGGCGCAACTACTGCTGTCGACGAAATGTGGCGGGGGGGGGGGCAGTGGGCGGGGGGGGGGGGGGGGCCAGTCGCGCGCGCGTTTGCGTACTTCAGCATGGAGCGGAATTCCGTGAGCCAGGGGGAGTGTAGCCAGTCAGGGGGGTGGGGGTGAGGGCAGTCACTTGACATGCGTGAAAAGCTGGAATGTCCCAGTTCACACTATTTTGCTGTAAGGAGCCACATTGGTCAGCAGCAGTATACAAGGTGGGGGAAGCAAAAAGCTTTTTTCTACACATGTTGAACTATTTTAAATTGACCTCACTTAACTATACCACAACTCGTTCTAACTGATTATTGAAGAGCACATTCGAATCGACTAAACAACTTTTTACTCTTCTACCGTGGCAACACTGACGCCCGTATAGAAGGCTATGCGAATACCTGCCAACTCCTTCTGATTCGCCATTTAATCAAGCCTATTAAGCAGATCGCGATAGTAGCTGATCTGCATCTCCTTATCTCTGCTCTTCATCATCCACATCGCACCACCTAAAAATTTCCCAAGATCAAGAAAATCGCACCTCTACACAACGAGTTTGTCTCGATCATCCATTGTTGATAACGCGCAGATTGCATACGAGTCACCACTTTTATTTTCTAAAGTCGCATTTCGCCACGAATGGAGAGAAGTCCCACTGGGCGCCAGCGCGTCCACATGGATCCGGCACGGCCGGCATTGAAAAATCGGCGGATTTTCACCTTTCAAGGAAACAGCAGACTCATTACTCTACCTAGCTATTACTCCTCCATATTTTCGCAGCGCAGAAAAAATCCTTTCCATCGAATCCACCGGGCATAGGAAGTACTGAAAATCAGAATTGAGATTCATTTTTTTCTTTCCAAAAATAAATTTACTCTTCCTCCGAAAACCGAGACGTAGACTGGAAGTGGGGGATGCTTAGGTTTTTGCGTACTAGAAGTTGAATGGTGCTTCCCGTGATAGCAGAAGTCCGTTTAAGTCTGCATGAGAAGAATTTTTGGGCCACTAACGTTTGTTACGGCTCTGTATTTTTCTGGCTATGTCGCAAGAGAATAATGGAATGGGCTCTAGGATTAACCCATTCGCCCCGTTTCGGACAGTTTCGAGGTCGGGGGGGGGGCTTCGTCTTGCGATCGTGGGAGTCGTACCGGTCGTCGTTGATAGTTAACCATCTTGTCCAAAAGTCGGAGGTCGTATTTAAGGTAGTTAAAGGGGACCTGGTCTGAAAGAAGAGGTCGTTTTCAACGGAGTTTTCGACAACAACTTCGCTGGGAACGTCACAAAAGTGTCGTGGAAAAATTAGAGCATTTGCCGTGGCCGTTCTAGAGATGGGGTGAGTGAAGATGGATCGTCGACTAGCGAGAATCGAATGCTTCTAAAGCCATGGGTGATTGGTGAGAAAGGGGACGGTTCGGTGAGAACCCACATCTCACCATGTGGCGAAAGAAGGGCGGTATCGTATACTGAATGGGGAGTGTCGTTAATTGTTCGAATAAGTAAAGGACGCAACTTTGACTCTTCAGTTGGCTATATCTCGACTCTCCGGAAACATAGTTTTTTTAAACAATGCACCGTCCGAAACCAGTATAAAAATATCCGAACCATAAACATTCTCACGCTCTGGATTCCCGCAATAGTCCCCCACAACGATTCGTCGGCGCAGTAGTTCCTTGAGGAAACGGAACTGTTCCTGTACCACCTTAAAATCTACGATCTCAGCGAGAAAAATCTCAATGTCTTTTACCCGCAGATAGAATATCACCTCATTTTACTCATTGAAATTGGCAGCTCTCTCCTGGAGAATTGGCCGGCTAGAGAAGCTCTTTACCAAAGGGAGCGGAGAGTCTTTCATCTGAAAAGAAAGCCTGACAATTACTTTTCAGCAAACTCCTCCTCGTAGAACCTCTTCATCGTTGTAATCATAATGTTATTCTTCTGCTACCGAGATTTTTAGGTGGAGACTTTTACTAAGTTGCCTTGACGTTCGCATAGATCGCCCATCCTCAAAAAGCCGAAAATCAGTTCAACGGTCTCAGAAGACCATAATAATTCAAATGATCATTCTACATATCTTCACTGAGTAATACACTTTCTTACTCCAGTAACCCCCCCTGCCAGTTCCTCTCGCCTTCGAAACCTTAATACTCTTAATTACTTTCTTTACCTGTTTTTCAGCTATTGAACGGAAACCAGAAAAGGCAAAGAAAAAAAAAACACGAACCCGCTTACGTCTGAGTCGATACCGCTCAAACGGTGCTATTTGGGTATTGAACGATCCATTCAGAGCTGTAAGAATACGCACCAGCTCTAGATTTGTCTTCAACGGAGCATCAACTCCAGAGAGAATCTGGAAGAGTTCTCTACTTTGTTACGTTCGGTAGTGGGAATGTAGCGATGCTGACCAAATTAGCACGCCGGCACTATTGCTAGCCTATGGTCAAGAGAAACCTCAGATTCTACAGTGCCAGCCAGTTGTTAGTAAAACTAGGTAATCCACAGAACATTAACCTTGCATGGGATTGTTGAATTACATAAAGATCGAAAAAGTTAAAGCATTTGCCAATGATCAATCCCTTCTGGATGCGGCACGCATTCTACTTCCATTTGTACATTCGTAGTGGCGTTTGAATGCGATGTGGCCTATACAATGACTTGCGGGGGCCAGCCGATGTACAAGTCAGTGTTTTTTATCCTCCCAGACAAGTCTGGTACCAATTAACCGACCCCGGAGGGATGGAAGGCTTGGTTGGCCCGGGCGACTCACGACCCAGGATTTGATCCCGGACCGCGCCGCGTGGTAAAAGCGGTCACTCCACTACACCACTAGTGCCCGTTGGATTACATATATTTATTTATTTGTAATACCTTCATCAATTATCTCATGATCTCATTCATCTCGCAACCCTTATTAGCCTTACATCTCTTCAGTTTTGAAGCATGCGCTGTTCATAGGAGAGGATATTTTTTTCCAAAGAAACCAGTTTCGTATTACAGTTACCCTCTTTCGATCTGGCCTTTTTTTCGTAGCTTGATGGACTAATTTTATTATTTGTTTCCATCTAAGGACTACGCTCTTGACACCGGTCGTGCAAGTAAATAAATAAATAAAAATAAATAAATAGAGTTTGCGGCAACTGAAAACTTTGCACAGTAGACAAGGTGGTTGTTTATTTCTGAAAGTAAGAAAGATGCCTTCAACAACGACTTGCATCGACTACTATACTGCTGTTTTCCATAATATAATATATTTTACTACAATCACTTTCCATATCACTTGGGCAGTACATTGAGAAGCAGTAGAAACTCATCAGAGTGGACTACGCCATATGCTTTAATGCACGTTAAAATTGTAAGATCGGTGGAAGAGTCTCGAAATACTCTCATGACAACTGATTTGATTAGGATGCCTTTGGAATTTTTACCTCTCTCCGTGGAGGATACGCAGTTTCAAACAATAACGGCACATTTTTTCCCTCTGCGAGTAGCTCTATGAAAGTTAAAGAAGAATTCGCCTGGTTCATCGCGGAATGAGCCTTTCGAAGCTGAATAGTCCCCTTCTCTGCCATCAATATGGCCTTTTCGACCAATCTAACTTATTATACGAGAACAACAAACTTTCCTGAGCAAATATAAGTCAAGAACTACACGAGTGTGCCGGCAATGAACTAAACATTGAACACCATCACATGCAAAATGCCCTCCCCACTCCTTGTCCCCACTTGGGTTATATAACCTGTCCAACGGAAATACGTCCTATGAAAAAGACAGACAGAAACCTAAAGGTACGGACCAAGCAAAAGCATCTCGCAACCGAAGAATACCCCACGCCGACCTTAGCACGCCGTCGCGCGCGTTCTATCGGCATGGCACGCCCACCACTGGCTAACCAAGCGCCGCATGCCTCCAGTCGTCTAGTAGAGCGTTAACGTGAAAGAGAATAGCACCAATGAGAGTCGCATCAGTGCAGAAATCATCAAGCCAAGAAGGGGTCCCATTCTCAAGTTTTCACCATTTCTCGTGAGTTTGCTTCAATCCCGGCCACTCAGCATCGTCTCTATTCTAATGAGCTGCCTTTCCAACCGCTGAAACCACCTTTGAGTATGGCCCTTTCCGAACAAGCATAGCTTGAGGCCGAGATCGATGGACCCGCAAAAGGCAACCGCCAAGCAGAAGCAGATGGAGTCGTCTAACATAAGTACCAATTTCATAAATAAGTACGCGCAAAGAAAAGGACAAAGATTCACTAAAAGGCATAGTATCTAAAGCCCTAATTCACCTGTATATACCTCCAGTCTGCCGATAAGTTTGCGAGTTGCATGACACAATCGAAAAATTGCTTCGATGATCTCATAGGAGCACCATTTGATTGGCTTCGCTCTCTGTAAGCTCATCACCGGTAAGAAACGACCAACAAACCGATAGTTCCGGAATAAGAGTTACATTTTGTCTGTTTTCTGATTTAAACAGCTTTCAAAAATAAATGAACTTCAATTTTGGTTACTTACCATAACAAGAATATTTGGATAGCAGCTGGAAATTTCATTCATCACCTTCCAAAACGTCTCATCGGCGTTGCCGTCGACGGCGACACAAAACTGATTCTGGGGTTGGTAGATTGCCGAGAGCAGCATCATCACCTGATCAATAAACTATTTGAGAAGTATTAGTATTAGACTGCTGGCATCATAATAAAGGAATGGATAACAGAGTAAATAATGAAAATATTCCTCCTTTTTTGAACAAACCGCATAACTGGACATAACTGGTATATGAGAATGACGGTAGCATAGACGCCATAGTAGAGTGTTATAGACAAAAGTCGTTCAAGGCAAAGCATCTTGGAAACTTCAACGTTCAAGTAAATAAAATACTGCTTAAGAAAAGCTACGGGTCAGATGAACAAAACTTCACCTGAACAACGTCTTTATGTACCAGCATGGCGTAGGCCAATGGAAAACGACGTTCCTTCATCGGAGAGCGTTGGAAAGAAGTCGAACAATCGTCCAATGACATCGCAACTGAAACATTTCCACAATCAAAAAACATTTTCAAAATTATTGTGAGGTACATCTACGCTGGAGGCAAGCAATGAAGTTTTGTGGAAATGCTCAGGTGAGCTATCGACGTCGCGACACTATCTGCAGGCTGTTCCTCTGTACAAGCTTAAAGGCAGCGATTACGATAAAGAGGGAGCGCATCGGGAAGCATATGCACCACACGAAGCAGTTACTTGGCTGCCAGGGAAGCGAGGTGTGGCGCTTTCACGACGAAAGGTGCGCTGGTTGCTGAGCAGGACTTCGAAAGCACTCCGCCCCAAAAGCGATCCGCCCACTTGTTGATTTGGACGAGCTGCGTGGCCAGCAGCGGCGCAAATGGAGCATCTCGATTAAGCGTTTGGCAATGGTGCCATCAAAGCGTTGCGGTGAACTCGTTCATAACTCCACTTTCTGAGCTGTTACCTGTTCATGAGTGAAAACCAACGGCCAAAAAAGGGGTCCCGTTTTGCGTTTTCTTGACGGATTTTTCCGCTTTTTTCGCCACTGGCGTACCATTGAGCACCACCACGTTACAATAAGCCCTTCTTGAATTTTTCGTAATCGCTGCCTTCAAATTGGCCAGGCAGATGAAGGAGGTAATATGCTTTCAGCATGCTCTCAGAACTGCAAATGAGCTGAGAGAAAGGACAAATTTTCCTGTTGAATTCCTCTGCCCAGGGTGCCTTTGTACTTTTGAAATAGCGGATTTTAAATTTTACTTATAGAAAAAGCTTAGCTAAGATTGACTTCTGAGATGAAGTGGACTATAGTTTTAGTGCATGCTGGATTCAATAAAATGGCTGGGAAGCCACGAACCCTCTATTCTCACTCGGAACAGCTATTTTCAGAAGAGGTGCCTCTATTCTTTCGAACTGTGTATACCATTACCTATTTGCGCTTTCCAGAATAGCGTGAGCTATCCCGGAACCGTTGAATTCCAACTGCTTTGCCTTAACTGCTTCATTCTCGTCTCCATTAAAAACCTTATCGCAATCGATGCCATTTAGTATCAGTGAAACTAGAGATCTGAAAAATTACAATTTAATTATATGATCCTGAATGAAGATGAAATGCATGGCGCAGATCGATCGGTATGACTCTGTGAATTACTAGAGTATTCAGAAATTCGACTGCAAAAATTGTAAATAGAGCCACAATCAGCAATCAGTCTTCGCTTTTACGACAGCTGGTACTGAATAATCCCGTCTTACCGATCATCTAGTTGAATTTCGCTTCGCCAGTCGTTATAGATTTGAAATATCAAAAATACTAGCAAGAATACCAGAGCAATACTTCTAAAGGTCGATGATCTCATTGACAGTGTGGGTTTAAAATTCATGAGGATGGGCTTTTGGCCGAGGCGTTTGCATATTGAACAGCTCGTGCCGAACTGTTAGTACAGCCGCTTGGAATAGGTCAATCCTTAAATGTGGACACCAGGAAGAGTAATGATCACACGAAACTCTAAAAAGTGGGCCGACTGGAAAGTAATACTGAGGAATAAATGTTTCTCGCATTGAGTTCAGACGGGAAACACAGTTAAGTTCGCCGTGTCGAGACACCGAGTGTCCAAAAAAATCTGCGTCGAAAGTCTTTGAGAACTTTGTTTTCTTTCGACAAAAGGGTGAACTTTCATTTCCAAACCTTATTTGGAGTACTTACACTAGAGGAAGGACATTTTGGTTCAGAGACTCCAGGTCCATTAAAACCATGGCAAACACTTTCTTTCACATGCAAACTTAATATGAAGTGCACCCTTACTTCACGCCTTTTTCAAAAACCATGTGAAACCACAGTTTGAACGGTGCGCAAGCGAAGGTACGTTTCGGTATTCGTTTCTACACCATTTCTACCGTTTTCTATGTATGCCATGTCATTGATTCCTACCCAATTTCTTCTGAGGTTTCATTTTAGGACCAACCACGATTCAGGAAGTGAGGACACTGGGGTGCGAAGGCAGTCTTTATTCCTTACTAGCTTAAATCCTTTCCATCGAATAAATGGGGGATTTAAAGGAGGAATTCACGATTAGAATGAAGGTCGAAGAAAGGGAAACTGACCTAGTTGAGGGACCCACGGACCTCCTGAGGGTGCGAACTGACGCGCAATTCGCATGGAAAAATTTGACCTCGGCGACCTATCATGCCTCAAAGCTGGCGGGTCCGGCGATCTCCGCCCACCGATCATCTGATCACTCGCCGTAGTTCAATACGTGGCGAGTGATTAGATAGCTGAGAGAGCGTAGTGTTGAAGAGGGCACAGCGATGAGAGTCGCATCAATGCTCGAATCAACGGGCAAGGAAGGGGTACCCATTTCTCGGGTTCTGGGCCGTTTCTCATGGTTCTTCCTTCTTTCGTGTACCACTCACCATCCCTAGGTTAATTTGAAATGGGTTGCTTTTTCATCGTGAATTCGTCCTTTAAGCCTATAGAAAGAAGAAACCCAATCCCAATGAAAATTAACTTTTGATTTGTGCCCAAACGTTTTGAGCCTCTCTATATTAATTTGCACGCACCTCTTTTAATCACAAACCTTCAAAAAACTAATACCCACCTAGTTTCTTTTGAACATTCACACGAGTTTGTTCACTCACCGATGAGTTTCCTTCCCGAGCGAAGATTTGGATTACTAGGTCTGGCAATGCTTATCCGCGCTCTCACCAGGAAGGTCTATCCGCCGTTTTTTTTTCACTTAGAAGTTTTTAACAAGCCCGAACAAAAACAACAATAAATGCGTAGTCAACAAACGCTCTCGAACAGTCCCCTCTGCAGCGGTGCCTTCATCATAGGCTTCACTGATTTCAAGACCAGATGTAGAACCATTCGCATTTCGAGCTCAACTTGCGCTCATGCAGCGTGAGCAATCTTCTTCTGCTCACGTGTAAGCCCCAAAGTGAAGGAAATACACAAGTGTTGTGTATGAGATGCATCAAGAATTGATGCGCTCTTACCAGGAAGGTCTTTCAGGGTGTGCCAAGCTTTTTCAAAAACGGTCTTTTGCATGATATAGGGGCACATGCGGGAACCACAGAACCATGGTTAATTTTTCCTGAACGGCCCTCTGAATACCAGAAAAGGGGGTCCCTAGTCACACCTTTTTCACCAGTTTTTCAATCAAAGTCTATTTGTAAGGGTTACTGACGTTCCTAATCATGAATATGGTACTAATTATTCATGCTAACTCCATTTTGCGCGAATTTTGAAACGTCAACTCGAAATGCAAAAATTTGTCACCACGAGGAATCGAACTAGGGACCCCTTTTCTGGTATTCAGAGGGCCGTTCAGGAAAAATTAACCATGGTTCTGTGGTTCCCGCATGTGCCCTATATCATGCAAAAGACCGTTTTCAAAAAGCTTGGCACGCCCTGAAAGACCTTCCTGGTTAGACTAATCCTATTCTTTGAAAGTAATTAGCAAAAAATCAATGATCCTAAAGACGCGGAATAATTATTTGTTAGACCTAGTACTTTAGAGGATAAAAACTCAGACGTGTCGCATCACGCGCCTCCCTCAGTGGATAGAGGCCCGACAAAATGCCCTAAACGTATCCCTCACTACAAACGAATGAGGTGATTATACCACATGCTCCAAAGATGTGGACAGCGTGAACTTGCTTGCTGTATGATAATGACTTAATGGAGGTTGAGAAAAGCAAAGCAGCAATCAGGAGAAAAATATTCTTTTACTTATAAAAAGACTTTTCCCCTCGCTAGCAAACAATTCTTACGTCTAGGCCACGGGCGGTCGACTGTCGAAGTAGGGTCAGCAGCTGAGCAATTATTGAACCGAGGCGATTCTATAACCACATAGGGCACACCGCAACAGCTCATCATAAGCGCTCCAAGTTGAGAGCAGAGAGCACCAGAACGAGTTATTACAAAAAGAAAGGGTCCGTCACGGAAAATGCTACTGTAAACCTACTGGAATAGTTGTGAATCGTTTCATTGCGAACCTCAAAAACTAACCTTCAATAGATCAGAATGACAAAATCTCAAAATCAGTTTATTTTGCGAAAATTTCCCAAGAATCAGTTTCTCTTGGTCGTATCAAATACAACAGCGGCCGTAAGCTAACACTTCCAATCGGGATATGGTTATGGAAAGAAATCACCTCGAACTTCTTCCCTTAATTAAAAAAAATAGAATTTCAGCTCTGCTTGGAAATATGCTTTACAATCTTTTTTTGCAGCAGTCCTAGTTGGGAAACAAATCAGAACAAGAGGGATTTTCGCTCCATCCCACGCTGGGAGCTTCATAATACAGCTCCGAAACGTTCTTTATTGACAAGACAAGCACTAGAATTTTATTGTATCGTGAGTTCACACCAACAATCCAACCTCGACGACATCAGTTACATAAATAAAAATAAAATAAGAAAGGGAAAATATATAGTTATATAGAACTCGCTCGTATTACCACTAGCCATCCGACCGATATGCGCATTACAACAGTTAACAATTATCTACGCAAAACGAGTAATCACAATGTCAACAGACGAGAATAAATTATTTTAGATACATAATTTTCTCTGTTTTCACTGATGATAGGGTGAACCGCGATACATTCCCGGACCTCCAGGACCTCGGGCAAACGGATTCCCTCCAGGTATTCCGGACGGTCCGCCCATTGGAGGCGGTGCAAAGCCACCCATTGGTGGAGCGAACGGCGGCGGAACTCCACCAGCTGGCGGTGCTGGTTCCGATGGTGGTCCCTGGCCGAATTGCGACTGTTGATTGAATGATGGCGCGAATGCAGGCTGCTGCTGAGCTTGACTTTGTGGTGGGAAAGCTCCAAAGCCCTGGAATACCTGCACATACTCACATCGAACACGCTCAGGAAAAAATAATATATCCGTCTCAGAAGTAATTGAAACCTAAAATAATAAAAGTTTGTCGTCGTCGGCTTGTGTTAAAAGTGCATGTCATGGGGAACGGTTCGCCGTACTTTGAACCATTCTCATAATCGCTTCACTGAAAGAC